GTGGACGCACGACTGGTGGTGGCGGTGGTGGTGGACGCACGACTGGTGGTGGCGGTGGTGGTAGAGGTCGTATCATTATAGGAGGAGGACGGAATCCACCAAAGAATCCGAAACGCTTCGGCTCAATGGCATTGTCTTCAGCAAGAACACGATTGCTTGTGCTCACTTGGAGTATGACGACACCGAAGAAATACACGAGAATCGACATTTTGATTGTGAATGTTTGTTAGTTTGATCGTTGAATATGAAGTAGAAATATGGTTCTGATTTCTTTTTATATACTTTTCAGTCATGAACTTCCTTTTTGTATTGATTCATCGAAATTTCGTCGGTTTCTGCATCATTGAATTCAAGATAGAACTATTTTTGGACTTATTTCTCTAACGTCATAAGTACTACATAGTTTGAAAATCTATTTTCAATGTTGCCGATGGGTAGTATTTACTTTAAACTGCGTTCTTTTTTTTCAATTTTTCCTTCGATATTGTAGGCTGTATGTAAATAGGAAGAATTACTTCCTTTGTACACAGAAGGAAATGATTCGAGTGCAATAGTGAATAGAATGACGATATTCTTAAGCAAACAGAATGAATCGAAATAGGAACGTTTGCGGCGATTTCAACTGTTTTTTACGACGAAATATGATTGAAATGAGTCGCCAGTTATGTTGACGATTAAAAACACCCATTGTTAACTTCGTGACATGACAGTTCCGCGCTGATACTTCCGCTCACAGGTACTTCTGCGCAGAGGCGTTTCTACGCGTGACATCACCATACCAACACTTATGTAGGCGCGGGTGGCGGGTGTGGATATTTGCTTCTGAATTACATCCAAACTCAATCTTACCGAATCCATTTAGATTTGGATAGGATTCGGATCTGAAAATTCCCTGTTTACCAGGTTCAATTCGAATGCGGGTTGGCTTGAGAGTGGAGTGAGAGTCTCTCAGATCCAGAACCTTTAGATTCGAATTCGGACGCGGTTTATTGAACATCTTTCAAATTCTGTTTCGACTCGGACTCGCTACAATAACTTTGTTCACAGCCGAGCTGAGGCTCGAACCCGATTGATTAAACGTCTTCAAATTCGACTGGAACTCGGACCTGATACGTATTCGTAGTATCCTCAATAAAATTTTTAAATATGTCTATATAGTGGCTCCAAAAATACCAGATGCTTTTTTCTCTTATTTAGATTCAGCAATCAACACATCCTACACATTTCTCAGACCATTTTGGAAGTGATTGTACAAGAATATGGACATAAGTGACTGTTACTTTTACAGTAGCAACTGTCGAGACAGATCTGGCAGCGGATCCGTAGCTAGGGATGTGACATTAGAATTAGTATTGGTATTAACCATTGAGCCTAATGCTTTAACAGCATTTTTAATTCTAATACATATATTTCATGTAACTATTTGAGGATTATCTAGACACTATACATGTGACTTTTCTGGTGCTACTTGAACATTATATCTGTAGTGTTCGTGCAATTCACGTATATTGTCGAACAAAATAATGATCGTAAGTTGAAATGGAAGTTCTTGCGACCCTCTCTTAACTCCTTGCAACTGTTTTAGCAGGATGAAGACCAAGATCACTGAGCATGTTTCCATAGTGATTGTGACGGGTAGGCTAACGTTGGTTGAGTATAGTTCGCTAGTAAAGTGTTGACGGGGAAGACAAGCTCATGATAATTGGGTACGCTTTTTCTAGCATCGAGAAAGGAGATGGTTGGAGTAATGGTACATAGATCATTCTGAAAGTTTCTAGAACCTTCGGAAGCATTTAATAATATAATATGGATTTTAGTTCTTGTTTGGATTCGTAAATGGGTGAAGAGAAGATAACATTCATACCTACATCCAAAACTGAGTCGATTAAAATACATTTGAAAGTGTTTGTTTGATTTTCTTTTTTTTTCAGGAAAATCGATGTCCTTTGCCTAAGATATCAAATCGTCAAAAATTTGAAGCCTCGAAAAATGCGAGGAATCTATTCCATTCAACTCAGTTCCCTATGCTGATTTCGAATCTACCACTTTTATGCTAAAGTGACAGAGTGTGGATGTGAGTCAGAGGTCTTAATGGATGGGGTCGACATTTTTTTGGATAGAAAACCATGAGTTGGACCAGGCTGATTCGAAATTACAATAGGCATCTATTGGTCAGATCTTTAATAAAATATAAAATTTTCAAAAGATATTGAGTGTTTCGACTAAATTTTTTTTTTCAAATATTCCATGCAATTCTTCCATTGACTAAAAATCATTTTTGCGATGAACAGCAACTACTTAAAGAAAAAAATAATAATATTGTCGTCATCTAAAAAAAGTTTCTTTACATTTAACAAAACGTGCTTGCCAATTTCTCCTTATTCATCGACAATTACAACATGATCATCAACTACCGGTGCTGGTTCACTATCACATACAAAACAGTATACATCCGAACGGATCAAATTCTTTTTGACACATCAATCATCAACATATGTTGTTATTAAAAATGAAAACGCAAATGCACCTTTAGCTCGGCAAGTTTTTTGTTTTTTAAGGAATAAATATTATTGCTCATTCATGTATTAATAATTTATTCACTGTAATTATATGAGTAGCCATGAGCGGACCATTTTTTAAGAAAAAAACCATAGGCCAGCTTTCTTCAAACCACCCCAACCCATTGAAACATCTAGTGTAAGATGTGAATGACGGTATGGTTGTCTAGAGTGTAGATGTATGTGTTATTGGGCTTATGAATGGTTTCTCTTGACATCCACACCCGCGTTAGCCATCATCTGGGAGACAATATTTTCGACCGTATCTCGAAGATACTGAAATAAATTTTTATTTTAATCATAATGTCAAAGTAACTATCGTTAAGAAAGTCTCATACGAATGTACAATATATAATAATAGTCATTTTTTTTGTTTATTTCGAAAATGATAAATATATCAAAATAAAAAAAAAACTTTATTAACAATCAATTCTAAAACCATAAATAGGTTTTTTCTATTAAAACTATGATATTTTATTTGTGGGGAATGCGGATGAAGAAGTTTTTCTGATTTGATCAAAGTTTCTAGTATATTTGTTTCCTTTTGATTTATAGATGCAATACATAATAAAAATAAATAATTAAGTTTTTCATTAATATTTGATAATAAACATCGTAAAAATGATTCAAAATCCTTGTCAGATTTATCGATTGTCAGTTGTTGTAATTGAGGACAAAGATTAATCAAAAATTGTATTTCTTTTAATGTACATTGACATTCAATTATCATATTTTGAATTTTATTTGTTTGAGATACTAATCGAAAAGTATGACTTTGTTGAATTGACACTAAATTTGAATCCTTAAGTGATGTATGTCCAATTTCAAAAGTATGAATATTAGGCATGCATTGTAAGAGTTCGATTATTTTGTAAAAATCATTGTGGTAAGAACGAAGAATAAATTTAGTCAGTTGATTCAAAGGTATAATATTATTAAGACTATTGGAAAGAAGATTTTTACTCTGCTCACCAAAATTAAACAAAATAATGAGTCCCGTAACATTTGGAAAATAATTTTGACAATTAATCATCGCTTTTTCATTTCGAATTTCAATTTGTTGAACAAAATTCATGATCATTTTTTGACGATTTCTGTTAATATTTTTATTTTTCTCTTCATATAATATATATTGTTTTCTCCTTAAAAGAATAAAATAAAATACAAAACATATGAAGTTATATTTACCTGTATGGATTCGTTGAATAGAAGCTAAAATTTTGATCTCGTTTTTTATCTACTTGATATTCAAAAAACCATCGTCGTTTGAACCAAAATGAAGAATTGAACATATTAATCATAGTAATAAAATCAATAATATTTTCAGCCCAATTTAAAGTATAAGAAATAAAAATATCAAAAATTCGTAAATGTGGCATATAAGATAAAATCAATCTTTGCCATCGGTTAGCATCTAAATAAACTGATCTACAATAATTCGAAATATGTAATACTTGAACTTGATTAAAAAGAGATTGAATCATGAATTCCAATTGATCAAAAGGAATATCTAAGCGATTTAGAGACACATGTGTCAAATGTATTAACGACACTGAATATAATTGTATTTGTGTAATAGGAGAATCATATGACGAATGAATCGATAAACGATTAAGATGAGGAATATATGATAAAAGATTATTGAGATCATTTAGAACATGTGTACTATTTAGAATAAAATGTTCAATAGGACTAGATCCTTTCGTTGCAATAGGTAATTGTTCAGGTTGATTGGATTCGTCTAATGATAGTTTGCAATATTTTAGTGCAGGTAAACGAAATATTTGTTTATAAAGATTATTTTTATTTTGAACTTCATCTTCACAATTAATTATTAAAGAAGATAAATAAGGCAAGACAAGTAAATATTTGAGAAGATTTTCAACATATAGTGATGAAATCTTATTAAGAATAAGTGTTTCAAGTCTTGTTAATTTTAATTCAATACGAGTAGATGAAAAAATACCATCAATAATAAATGGATTTGATAGATAAAGTGATTTAATTCGATGTTGATTAGGGATGATAATTTGTGTATGATAACGTTGAAAAGTTGATTTTGATGTAGATAAATGTTTAATTTTTAGTAGAAAATTTGAATAAATAAGAAGATTTTGAAATCGAATATTGAGATTAGAGAAAATTTCATATACATGAAAAAAATCGAGAAATTCAAAAATTTCATAAATAATTTCATTAGAAAGATCTTCAAAACGTGCGGTTGAATTTCTTGATAGACTAAAAAAACAAAGATTAAATATTTAAGTTGAAAAATCAAAAAACCTTCTATATTGACTGACCTTTTAGCATCACCTACTACCTTCTTTTTCTTATTACCATCAGCAACACTATTTTTTCGTTTCATTTGTTCCATAGCAAAATTAAAATAATATTTCAAACTAATTGTGCTTTATTGAAAGAAAACTGACATATACACGTAATATTTTTTTTAAAATAATATTCTTATTGTAAAGAATAGAAAAGAAAAATATTTGTTGACATAAGAAAGAAGAAAAAGAAGGCTGTCAAAGGCATTGCCATCAAACGTTATCAACATACATGCTCAAGGTAACCTCTATAAAATTTCTGTTTGAGTCAACTATTTCTCACGAGACCTACGGCCATGTGCGCACAAGTGTTATTTGCATTTGCGATCGATGAATCAACATTGATAGAGGCACTAAAGCAGATCAATTTATTCCTTAAAGTCGATATTCTCGAATGTGCGCCAGTCTCCGGTGTGGGGTGTGGGTGTGAATAAAGAAGGAAATGATACCCACACCCACACCCACACCCACACCCACACCCACACCCACACCCACACCCACACCCACACCCTTTAATTTAAAAACATCGTAATCTTAGAATGTTTTTTTCTTAAATTCATTTATCTTGTCATCAGAACCAACAAAAGAACAAATATGAAGTCTTCCTGTATATGTCTAGTTGATATCGATCGATGCTTGTTCGATTCAACACTAGTTATAGCGTAATTCAATATAACAACGACGACTATATCATGCTCAATCATAGGCGGGAGACCAGCAACCAATGAGTTAGCAATTGCTTCTCTTAAAAAACTTATTTTGCGCCGTCCATGTGCTCAATATGTAGGATGGTATAAGTATGTACCATTTTGGTTGAACAAACATTAAAAACTCATGATCAATATTGATTTGCACTTATTATGTGACGAGTATTTTACCTTTATAAATTGATTAATTGTGTCAAGTTGCGCGACATGTTGAAGGAAGAAAACAGATAAGTTCATTTCGAACATTGTTAACTATCATGTAATTATATTTCATAATTGAGCGCTCTAAATATGATTGGTTCAGATGAATAATCGTTAAATTATGGCGATGTTTATAGTTCTAGTTAAATTTATTTTTCAATTTACTTAAACATGTCATCATCAACTCCATCACGCTCTATTGATTCTGATTCGAGTGTACCTAATACTCGATTTCGTTCTTTGTCATTGTCGAGCTCTTTTCGAGCTTCTCAATCTTCTAATCGTGAATCCTTCTCACGACGATCTCAGATTCTAAAGGCAAAACGAAAAAATACATCAAATCGATCAAAACCGTATAGTTCTTGTGCACTTCCTCGTGCAAATTAATCAATAAATTCGATGATTTCTGCTGTTAGCAATAGTCAAGATCTTGATACCAGTTTTAGTCGATCATCAACTAATGTCAATATTGTTTGTCTTTCATCTCAAAAAACCTAGCTCAACCAAGAACAAGCTGCGTTCGAACGATTATCAGACGATGAAAGACAGGTGAGGAATTGCAACATCATCTATTTTTTTTGTTAATGTTTCTAATTATAGGTCTTTCATAATACCTATCTCATATATTTCACTTCATTATACATCATTCTGATGTTTCTAGAATAACAAAGAAAATATGGCACCTTCTAATCACTCGTCAATTGCCAAACTGATGAACTACTATACTCAACATGAAAAAAAAAATTTATCTGCAACATTTGTTGTCAAATACGTTTCTATCATCAATATCTATGCATAGGTCATATCAGTAAAAACCTGGTCAAATGGAATGGCTATCATAGATTTTATAATAACCATTTCATTTGACCCAGCTGCTACTTCCTTAAAATTTTTGAAGTTACAAATTCGTCTATC